TTTATAAGGACGCATACAAATTTGAAACTACAGAACTGTGCAGAGTTGCGTCCCTTGGGCACGCCAGAAAGCTATGATTGTTGGTTCGAATCCCGGTTAACTCCGATTATGTTTCTAGGTTTGTCAGCACCATACTCGTGCTCGTGGGTTTCACCGAAGTGGTAAACGTCTGAGACCTGCATCACTTCGGGCTTTCCTCCCACATTAAGCTAATACGCCGCGATATAACGGGAATATTGTTAAAAACGGCGTTAAACACAACTCCCTCAATCACTTCATTAGGGCGAGGTAACCAAAGGGTAATCGCGCCGCCAATTTGGAAGGGTGCGCAAGCGCTTTAAGCTGTTGCAGACCCCGGATGAGCATTTAATTTGCGCTTCATGGCTTGCAACGCGCCCCACCAGTCGGATAATTAATATTGCTTATGACAATACAGCTACTAACAACACGTGGAGTTTCATCCTACTCATGCAAGCTTAGTTTTCATTCGACATTTGGGACGGTCGGGAAGCCTAGTGGTTAAAGCGTTCGCTCGTCACGCCGAAGACCCGGGTTCGATTCCCGACATGGGTACAATGTGTGAAGCCCATTTCTGGTGTCCCCCGCCTTGATATTGCTGGAATATTGCTAAAAGCGGCGTAAAACATACTCACTCACTCACTCACTCATTCGACATTTAGTATACAGATTACTTCGTAAATATGTATTATATGTTTAAAAAAGATAAACTAAGAGATGGTAGATCAGCAAGTTGTTTCCTAAATATTATTTACAAAAACGTTTTCTGATGTCCAATGCACACAACGTTATCACAACGTTAATGTGCAAAGTTGTTGCAACGTTTTGGAATAACGTTACAATGTAACGTATTACTAACGTTGTCATAGAGTAACAGTATATATGTTTATAGCAAAGTAATGCATTACTGACTTGGTATTATGATGAAGCAGTTCTATTCCTATATGACTATCAAGAAGCAAACTCTATAACGTTTCACCGACGTTTCAGCAACGTAGTTACAAAACGTGTTGTGATGCCTGATGCACAACGTTTTCACAACGTAAATGTGTAATGTTGTTATAACGTTGTGAAATAACGTTACACAGTTACGTTATTGACCTTTTTCACACTTCGCTACTTCCGGCTTGAAAGCGAGGCTTGGAGTGCAGAAGGTAAAGGCTGCGTAGCACATGTTACACATGGAGATGTCAACAAGGCGCGCAATCGGGATAAACTGTGACAATTTAACCATTCGGTACTATCACGGCAACATTTATCGTAAGTATTGAAAATTATTCTTATTTTTAATATTGACAAAATAGTCTACTGTTATCTGGTCTCCTTACTGATATAAATTAAGCAAGTGAGTTTGGCCGTTCTGTTGTGATTTCAATTTCAAATAGTCATGACCACCTGGTAACTCCCAGTGCAGTTTATGGTAGCTGAACAGACTTCATGCAAATCCTACTGGCAGGGATAATTCTAGGATGGGGCCTTGTGCTTTTAGCCCCTAAATTTGAAAAAGGCCTACATTTTCAAATACAATGGTCATTTTAACATTGTGATGTTTGGGCGTACCTCTGGAATACTTGAAATGTTCACATAAAATCCTTGAGTGAACCCTACTACTTGGATCGTGTAAAGAATAATTCATTGTTTACACACTATCAACCCAAACTATTTATTTGTGTGTTTACTCAAGGTGTGAGTTTGAATAACTTTGCGAGTTGTATTAGAAGTCGAGTAGAAAATATTGACCTTTTAACCACATCTAGATAGATGTCAGAAACTGACTAAATTGATGTGTTGACTTTATTTATCTTATTGTAGCCTATTGAGAATTTACAATCATAAACAAATCAGAATTATGCATCAGTTGTGTATTTGATGTAAATTGTAATTGACTCTAATACATTCCAATAAAATAGATCTAGATCTACCAGTGCTGCTGTGATTGTGAACAGTAGTTATTTTAACTGACAATGTTGACAGGTTAGATAGCATGAGGTGTAATATTTCAACTGAAGGGTGTGCAAATATTTAAATTAGTGAGTTATAATATTACATCGCATCGGCAATATTGCAGCCATATCGCGATGAGAACAGGTTGATTATAATAAAATTCCTGTCAACAAAGGACAGTAAAACAGTAAGGTAAATATCACAGTTTAGATATAAAACAAACCTGATCTCTATTAAAACAAAGAATTGTTCAGTCAATTAATTAATATAAATTAAAACCAGGCTATAGGCCACTGGCAATCAAAGCTAGACCACCCAACTGGGGATCATGGGGACTTACAGTGCTTTTGCTTCCTGCATGATTCCCGGCAGGATTTATGCCGTCACCAGTGGTTGTATTTAAAGCTTACCAATATTAAAAATCAAATCACAATCAAGGAATTAAAACACTAGTTGATATTTAATACTTCAATATGGATATGGATGTTGTATTGGGCAGTGGCGAGAACATTATTCAAATCTAAAATATCCAGAACCAGCGGATGGTCGTAAAAACAATTATGTATTGCCTGAAGGCATTACACGGAATCAGAAAAGATGATGAACTGTTGAGATGATTGGTTTTGAATGTAGTCCAATGCTATAAGTATAGCATTGGCCTCAGCTGTAAAAATAGATGTACATGTATTTCCTGGGATTCTCGAAGACACCATTTTAGATCCTATGACAGTGGCACTTGAAACTTTGCCACCATCCTTGGAACCATCGGTAAAAATACAGCGATGAGAATAAAATATTTAAAGTGAAGTACAGTTTGATCTTCAATTTTGTAAACAATATTTCTACCAAGAGGATATTTACTTTTCTGTACCAAATTAATCATGTCATGAAATGAACAAAATCCGACAAATTAATGCCCAGTAAATGTTAAATCTACATGTGATCTTTATGTAATATTCAGGAACAGATGACTCTTTTAACACTCAGTATTCAAATATTTCAAATTCATAAATTGAGATTAAGATGACTGTGAACAGAATTATTTTTATGAGTGTTGTCTGATTCTCATGGGTATTACAATCATAACTCATTTATTCCCTTTGTTCAATTGTGAAATTCATCTGGTTTTATGTAAACAAACATGTTACATATTTTGAAATTTTTAAAACAAAATAATTTCTTTTGTGCAAGCAAATGCCATGTAATGTATTATTGATTATTAAGCATAAAATTTCTGTATTTCTGAAGAATGTTGTTTATAGCAATATTTTTAGAGAAGGTAAATACATGTATGCATTGTTTATAAAAATTCATGGAAGTAGAAATATTATTACAACATTATTGAATTATTAATTTCAGGCTTTGAGTCCAGAGACTCAAACACAATGAAGTATATGGTGATGGATGTCTGGAGGAGCTCTCCGCTGACAGTAACACACCGGTTACAACGTGCTTCCTGTCACATTTCAATTAAATAGGACGCGTAAGTGACAAACCATATTCACTCACTCAACTAATGTGCTTCCTGTCACGTTTCACTTAGATAGGACGAGGAAGTGAAAAGCCTTATTCATTCACTCAACAACATGGCCAATATTTAATAGCCTCATGATGTTTTAATAAAACTATTCTAAAAAAACACATTGTACCATTTGTTTACAAGCAAGAAAATTATTTTCTCCTGGAATGTAATTAGGTGCTTTTCACTGACAAAGACACCCGGGTTATGTTAAGTTTATAAAGCCTAAATAACTGAAGTTGACGATAAACAAGCTTATATTCTTAGAAATAAAGACATGAAAATCTTGGTTTGGTTTTCTTTATTAAATATGAGAAATCCAGATTGTTACATATGAGGAATCCAGATGATTTTAGATTGCTATATATCAGGCACTCACAAATATCCGACTGTGATATAAATCAGAATTATTTATTTGAACCAACACACATTTTAGATATAAGAATTGATTTTAATTATTTTGTTTCCAGATTGTCCAAATTAGAATAATATAGATTCCTTAAACGTATTGTCCGGTTTTGGAAACGTAGAAGAAATAACAATGTTTGGGGATGATATGTTCAGATAGTCTTTTCCCCGACCCACTTTGACATTATATAACTGACTAAACAGACTGTGGGAATAATTCTCCAAGATGAAATTTTATTCCATTTTGGTTGTAAAATTTTAGGTTGGTATGTTCACGATTTCCGATTTCTGGCAGATAATATTATCAGATTTTGGTAATATGCATGCTGAACTTTTTGTGAGATATCTCAATCATTTAATAATTGGTATCATATAACAATGACATAATTTCAATACTTCCTTCGAAATTCAGATTTTCTTATTACAAAACTTGATTATCTACATATATGATATAGTATATATAATCAATTTGGGATAATTCATAAACAATGTTATATTTACATATATCCAGCTTTCAAGATAGAGTGTAAATAGACAATAAATATATATTTGTATATTTATTTTTTAAAATTTATGAAAATAATACTTTGTGTTTGGTCATAAGTATTATCAAATCATACAATTATCTGCATGAAGTTCATTATTGAGACCAGACACACTTACTGGTACATTTGAAAACCTGTTTCACTAACTATTATCCGGGAGGTTGCCAAATTTATACCAGTGTAATTTTGTTTAGTAGATATGGTGTATGAATAGTTTGGTAGCCAGTGATTTCATGATCAGTATCAAAGAAAGAACATATATACACAAGTTGAAAGAAGATAAGTAAAATTTAATCTTGTCACTCTGAAATGAATGTATATACAGAACCAGATTGCAACCTTAATTATTTCATTATTCTGACATGGTTTCCATTGTCATTCTGAAATCGACCCATGAAGATTCCGGAGTAGAATAGGACTTCAGCAACCCATGCTTGCCGTACAAGGTGACTATGCTTGTCGTAAAAGGCGACTAACGGGATCGGGTGGTCAGACTCGCTGACTTGGTTGAAGCATGTCATCGATCCCAATTGCGTGGATCGATGCTCATGATATTAATCACTGGATTGTCTGGTCCAGACTCGATTATTACAGACTACTGTCATATAGCTGGAATAATGCTGAGTGAGGCGTTAAACAACAAACCAACCAACCAAATCATTCCGAAATCAAACAAATAATTAATTATTGTCCTGCTAAAGGAACAGCACACTTATATTTGGGTTCCAATTTGATGTAAAAAATGACACATCACATATTTTAACCTCTTTACAATGAACGGTATATGCTGATTAATTTATTTTTTATTTTGTCTCATTCCATCAACAAAATTTGTACCGGTACATTTATTTTATCATATAGGTCAGTGTGTTCAAAAAGTTGATGTTTGTATCAATTCTTCGAATTCTATTTCAAGCAAAAATTAAATTTATTAATTTTAAGTTTCATTTTAAATTCAACATTTCACACATTATATCTTTTGTCATGCACGGTGCCAATAGTCGGTTTAATATGTGATGATTGAAGGAAAAGTAAAGTTGTACTCACTGAATAGAGTTATCGCCCCTTCTGAATATTTATTTTGACACACGAGCTATTTTGTGAGCTAATTGCATTCACATCGTAATATGTTTGGATGAAAATCATAGCAGAAAAAAGTGTCTTATGTCAAATGGACTCATGGCAAAGCGATAGTGTGTGGTACAGCAAACACCACTAAAAAACGTGAAATAAACATGATCGACGATATTGAGTTCGCCAGGCCCCGAATTGACTGAGCAAATTAGCAAACTACACGGACGTGTTTCATGTTATGCAGTTCATTTACGATACAAAACTCCTTTCATTCAATATACTATCATACTGTACCCATATGCCGACGAGGTTATGATAAAACAATCTATTTCGGAAATACGTATCTCGAAATGCCTCTTTCGATTCACTTCGTGGATCCTGACAGCAAAATGCGAATTTCAGTGTATTACAGGCATATTTTAGTTGGACCTCAGGTTTAATGTGCAATATCTTCTGTATTAGATACAGAGGATACCATATATTGTTTGAAATGTCTATCAGTGAAATGCACATCATGTCTGTTCCCTATCAGCTGATGCGACTTACACTGCATGGAGCTATGCTCGCTATGCTCGTTTTTGATCCAAGATGGCGAAAGTGTGAAAAAGGACATAATAACGTTGTGCCAACGTTGTATCACGGCGTTAGTAATACCAATCCACAATCTTACCACAACGTTGTGACAAGGTAGTGTGTTAGCTGGGCAGCACCAAGCTATCAAGTGTTCAAGTGTTCAAGTGCTCACTAGAATAAGTATTTAAGGCAGCAAGAATGCGTACAGATAGGGAGCCGATGCGTATTACCTAAAGATCGCTATTTGCAAGGAGTGCTTTGACAGTTCGAGAAACAGGTACCTGTGCGTGTAAAATACTAATGATAAATAATCCATTCGGTCACTATAGAAATCAATCTACAGTAAATTAAATGTATATATTAGCCAAGAAGGGACACGAATACATTCACATAAATACATAATTCCATTTCAGTCAGTTTTTACTCCAGGACACAAGTATTTGTCAAGTAGCCTACGAATCCCACTGAAGAGCGTCTGAGATCTCAGTAGGATGAAGTGCCTGGGCAAGCAATCAGTTTTCATGTTGCTACTCAATTATCCATACAGAGGGCCGACCTGAACTGTTGCATCACCGGTTATTTTTTTTCCTGTAACGTCGTGGGGGCAAGCGCTTTGGTAAAGGTGGTCGACTGTCGAGTAGGGGCGGCCGCCGTCGTTGAGGTGTTGGACTGTCGAGTGGGGGCGGCCACTGTGGTAGAGGTGGTGGACTGTCGAGTGGGGGCGGTCCATAATTGACATATGCCGGCCGTTGTGGCACAGTGCTTGGCTTCAGCCCAGTTTGGTTTGTCGGTTGCTGTGATTCGGGTCTATTTATGGGAGACAATTCGAGACTTGTATCTACAGGATGCCTACCGTCATCATATATTTGATAATCACTTGAAGATGCATAACCACATAGTTGATCACTTGTGGGTATGGCGAGAGTATGGCGAGACACATATTTTGGCTTTGGAGGGAGACGTGGTTTCTCATTCGTTTTCGTCTTCTCATCATTGCTCACATTAAACATGTCATACTGGTAATCCTCGCTACTAACGGATTTCAAGTCTTCGGGGAAAGATTCCAGGTTAGATTTGGAAATATGAGCTGGCTTGCCAATTCGGGGTAGTTGACCACACACTGTATTCTGATCTGTGCAGTAAATATTTGTTCTTGATCCGGAGCTTTCAGACGAACTCCCAGATTCCGCAAGGTACTTCGGTAATTGTAAGACTTTTCCATTTGTCTCATTTCTTTGCAAAGGTTTTGGTTTAAGCCTTGGTTTACTGGGAGTCGGGTGAACTTGGAATGTTTCTTTGTCAACCGACACACCGGTGCCGCCAACGACAAGTGTAGATGGCGTAAAGGACGAGCGCGGCTCATCACATTGTGAGGAAAACCCATCCACACTATCATAGTCATCTGGCAGTATGATGTCTGCAGAATCAGGATAGGTATACGGGTCTTCTTCACTTGATTGCCCCTCAGTATCTAAAGTATCATAAATATCCGGATTTCTGTAGGGACGGTCTTGATCTCTGAAAAAAGCATTATGTTTAATGGTAAAGGTTTTGTTGACGTGATAGTGAACAGGCAAACTAATTTGTAATATTTTCAGCCTCTTGCTGGGCATGGGCGAACAGTGGTTTATAATCAAGGTAATATATCTGATTAAGTTCGTCCTTTACGGTTGATCCCTATCCCAAAATTGCAGATAGGATCTGATCTTGACACTTGGTATTGATTCCATGGCTCATGGGTTTACTAATTAGTAAGCCTCCATGACCTCCGTTGCAGAGCGGAATTATATACTCACTTGTATTGGTTATGAATTTGAACCATCAAATTTCATAAAGAAAGTATGTATGAAGAATAGCAAATTAAATGTCTTAATCTACATGCAAATGTTATGAGTATTTATAGACAGCACATGCTACTGTTAGACCAGACGGAATTACTAGTATATTGAAATATGTATTTTTGAGAATGATGATTGCACAGTCGTGATTTGGAAAATACCTTATATGTTCCAGTAATTTCTGTTGAACAAATGTCATCCGTGGCCTTTCATGTCGTTCTGGGCTCCAGCAGAGGAGCATGAGAGAATAGATTGTATCCGGGCACTTTTCCGGTTTGGGAAGAATCTGTTGTCCAGATGTTGTGGTCAGGTACTCATATAACTGTAAAAATAGGAACACTTTAAAACATATCTGAAGGCTGGCAAAGTACAGATTGAATGGTTGAGTTTTTTAAACTCTGAGTATTTAATGTATGTTTGAGAAAAACAGGCCGTTCACGTTTACCACTTTGTTGAAACCAAATATGACAAAAGGGTACGGAACGACAGGAGCGAAACTCCGATACGAACCCAGGAACTAAGGTAGTTGCAGCAGAATAAAATATAGCTAAGCAATGACGTTACCTTATCCTTTGGAATACTCTCGAGTATGTTTTCATGCCTTTGATCGTGGTAAGTGCTAAAGTTGGAGAACCCATTCCACAAGATCAGGCCAAAACTGAAGACGTCACTCGCCCATGAGTAGGTACCGTCTCGTATTACCTCAGGGGGCGATCTGACAAAATAATAATAATGAATCATCAGGGACGAAGCTGCATCAAACAATAATTTGTTGTGAGTGAATGGGGTAGCAAAAAACTTTATGCAGCCTTGAACAATATTTCAGTGAAATCACGGTGTGTCAATTGAAACTGAAAGGAAAGGGATGCCATTTACCTCTTTGATGAAACCAACGACCATTGGTTTGAAGTTGACAAACCAAGGATAACAATCTGTATGAATCTTGTATTAGAAGCCGCCACCACAGGAACCTGGCATATGTGAGGGACACTACTCTGCATAGCAAATACCTGCCTTTGGTTAATTCCTTAGTGGATAGGCATCTGTTAGCAAACGCTTATGTACTGTAACACTTTGCTAATTTTTATCTTTGCTCTCAAGTACTTTTCAGATAGGTCACTGTGAAATAACAAACAGTACAAAGTATTAAGTTCGAGAACCTACCTTCTGTACACATGGTCATCCTGTGGCACAACAAAACTGTCATCGGCAATCATTCCATCCTCAGTGTCACGTGACATACGGATATATCCAAGGTCTGAGAAGTATACCTGTGACAGGGAGAGAGGTAGGTTTGATGAGTACACACTTTGTGTCAAATAACATGTTTATCTCGTGGATTGACTTGGCAGCTGTTATTGACAATTGGGCAAAGGAACGACACGTCATCCCGAGGATATCATTTTAGCATGCTTGAGGAAACGTAGTGTTGTTACTTCTCTTAGGTTTCTGAAGAGACAGATTTATCTGTCAATTAACATTGATTGTGGAATCAACTGACAATTGTTACTGAAAAACAGATTTACTAACGTGTCAGCTTCAGAAAAGTCCTACCCCTGCCACTTATGGTTCTGACAATTCTGGGAACATAATCCTGGAGAATCGTGATTCGAACCAAAGAAAATAGGTTTATGATCTTACCTTGTAACTGCCTTTATCTTCAGTATAAGCTATCCAAATATTATCTGCACATAGACAACCATGGACCCAGTTTTGCTGATGTAGAAGAGACAACGTCTTTGCCACTGCACTCAAACAGCGAATGTACTCCACAGACCATAGGCGGAATCTCCTAACATCCATCGCATTGCTCAGTGAGACACAATCTCCAGTCGGGAAGTCATACAACTGCGCATTAAACATTACCTTGGCTACCAACAGAATTTTTATGATTCATTTGTTTCGTTCATCTAATGCAAACGAGAGGTGGCTGAACAGTTATAAGCCTAACTACGAAGGCTGTATGAAAGTGCTTAGTACACTACTTTTCATACTTACAGGCTGCATTCGAAACAAATACTCAACCAAGCAGCATTTCTCAGGCATGAAAGTGGTTAGGTAATCCTCCTTGACGAAAAAGGACACACTGGCTACTGCGCTGTCATCAATTATCTCCGACCGAACCGGTTAACTCCAACATTTCTCAACACGGACTTGGTGTCTACTTAAGGGGATGATTCTCCTTCCTTTGTCACTGTACAAAGGAGGGCAGCGGCGTTGAAGAGGGGAAGATAGAGCCTCGAAAATGAACCAAGATCAGGAAGACCTTTAACTGCCGCCACGAAGGCAAATGTTAAAATACATATGATTATGGATCATTGATGGCTCACCACACGCCACATAGCCAGTACACTAGGCATCGGAGGAATGAGGTGAGGTGAAATGGGGTAACGTAGCGTCCAAGGTTATTGTACTTATATAGCGACGTGTGTGTGTGTGTGTGTGTGTGTGTGTGTGTGTGTGTGTGTGTGTGTGTGTGTGTGTGGCTGCTTGTACTAGTCCGGACTGATGCCGATTTCGAGTGCTTTCACAGTGAGATATCATGCCACAGTTTAACATGAATACCACATTTCGACACAGTACACTGACTCCGAGCTGACCAGTCCTTGGTCTAGCCCCTTAATGCCGTGCGACAGACAGGGTAACAACAACAACCATCTTTTATCGTCTTTTGGTATGACGTGGCCGGAGATCGAACCCTGAACCTTCCGCTCTCTGGGCGGACGCTCTACCTCTAGACCACAGAGGCGGTTTCAGAGGAATAAACAGGGCATAACAAAGACGTCAGCATGCTGGGTCCCAAGGCTGTTGATCCTTGATCTGAAATGCTCAAGCTTTATTATCTGTCTTAAGACTTTACATCGTTTTGAAGCAGACTCAGCTGATTTTGTTCAGCGATTTGTAATTATGGATGAGTGCAGAGACTAAACAACAGTCACAGTTGTGGAGACACCGCATGTTCCCTCCGAAGAAGAAGGCAAAGTCTGTCCCATCCAGATGGCAAGGTGGTGGCTTCGTTTTTCTGTGATTCGAAAGAAATCCTACAACCCAAAAACTTACTAAAGGTGTGTTGTTTACCAGGACAGTACACTTGTGAAAGAGTCTGTTGTCGCCATGGCTGCACTGCATGACTGAGGCTTTGAACTCAATGAACACGCTCCATATTCGCCACATGTGGCACCGTCAGATTTCCACCTCTCCAAAACGTGATTAAAAGTACTGTCTGGCAAGCATTATGCAAATTCTGCTGTGAAAGACATGTTACACCACTAGGGGTATAGCATTTAACACCAGTTTGATCCAGACACTCCAGCATCACTGGCAGAAGTGTTTGCTTCGGGAGATGGATTATGTTGAAAAACAACAAGGAAGTAACTCCATCAACACAGTCCATCATAATTAGACTCAGAACATTTCGGCCACCGCTCGCACCTTGGAATATCACACACACATTGTCTGGTTAAACAACACTAAAAGCAACAAGAAAATTTCAGTTTGAAACATTGTTCCCAAACAGTATAACACACCTGTTTAAAACGTTGATGAAACCCACCAGCACGTGTATGGTGCAGACAAACTGACCCGTGAAGATCCGGGGTAGAATAGATCTTGAGCAACTCACCTTGCTGTAAAAAGCAACACTGATTGTCGTTGGGCGACTAGCGGGTGGTCAGACTCGCTGACTGGGCTGATGCATGTCATTGATCCCAACTGCGTGGATCGATGCTTATGATGTCTGGATTGTCTGGTCCAGACTCGATAATTTACAGACCGCCGTCATATAGCTTGAATATTGCTGAGTGCGGCTTTAAACAAGAAACAAACAAACAGACAAAGCAGACAAACGTTGAAACATAATAGGAGCGAAGAATTGGTGGAGGTCAAATTGAGTATGAGAATAGGTATTGTAGGCTGTCGTCATAATATTGTGCGCACTAAATATAGGTGGATGCTAATTGACTGCAAATTTGTATTGTAAGGTACAGTCGTGATAGTAAATTACAGACTCTGGTTTATATATCAATGTGTGCGAATGTACACTTATAATCTTGGATTGTGTCGTTGTGCAAGTAATCAGCGAATGTTTTAGTTATATTCCTGGCACACCAAACATGGGAACTGATTTCCCCACCTGAACTAGAAATAAAAGAGACCAGCGAAGAGTGACAAGAAACCCTCCACAAGACTGTATGAGAAGAGAGATGTCTTCAGCTTTCCAATAGTCAACTTTCCCTTCATGTCGAGCAATACTCCTGCAGCTTCAGCCTGTGGTGTCTACATTTCACAACTTTTGAGGTACAATCGAATATGCTCTTTGTACGGAGATTTCCAAAAGCATCATAAAACTCTTGCTTGCCCAAAAGCTGTTACAACATCCATGGCCTCAATAAAGCTTTCAAAACACTTTTAATGGTAGACATATTGAGGACATTTCTAAATTTGACCCATCAATGACAAAAATGATGTCTGATGCAATTCCCTACCTTTACGTGTACCGTATGTTCCCGTGTTTTTTCGGGTGAACTTGTCTTTGCATATGTTATATGGTCGGATACGCTCAGCCTTTCATGAACACATGGTATCATTTCTTGATGGTGATTCATAAACACATACTTATGATTTAGTTGGAAATAAACATTGGACGCTTTCGGAAGATATTTCTTATGATTTCGGAAATGGTTTTGTCGCTCCAATAAACACATTGTGATAAACCCGAACTGAGGAGTGAACGATTTAACCACAGGGGTAATCACAGCCCCTATGATATACGTAGTAGCCACCATGTCGGTATGGAAAGCCTTTGTTACATGACAATCTTACCATGTATTCTGTTTCATTCCTTTTCTCAACAGTCACATGGCCGTAAATTCCTGGGATGCTCTCTGTGTTCAATTGTGACTCTTCTGTCTGCGTCAGGCGATGACACAGTATGTCCATTCTCTGATTTGGTTTAAGCTAAGAAACGTACACGGGATTAGATAGTGATCTTGAAATGTCTGTATTAAGTAAACGGCTCACCGTAGATAAAATAAGGGGAAGATAAGCATGTATTTAGGGGTCTATAGTTAAAGTACATATTTTGAAATTATAAAATGGATTAGGTCCAAGTAATGGAAACCTACTCTGAAAACATTCTAAAAAATAGCAAACAGATGGAAAGCAATAAGGAATAGAAAGATGAGAAAACAAATACAAACAGGATATCTGTATATATTTGCATTCCTCTCTTTGTAAGATTAAACTGTTTAATTCATGAATAATTGCATTGAAATGAGATCTGATTGGCATATAAAATATCGGATTATGTGAATCAGAACATTTCATCTTGTACTAGTCACTAATTCGTTCCAAACTTGATTATGGCTCCATCATCTATGGTGGAGCCTGCAAAAGTAACTTAAAAAAACTCGATACCATCCATCATCAAGGACTGAGGCTTTGCCTTGGAGCTTTTAGAACGTCTCCCATTCACAGTCTCTATATAGAAGCAGATGAGCCTTCTCTTAAACAACGCCGACTAAAATTATCTCTACAATACATCACTAAATTATATTCTAATCCGTCCAATCCAGCTTTTGAATGTATATTCCATCCTCTCTACGAAGATCTTTACAATAAAAAGTCATCTCTTGTTCCACCACTCGGAATCAGAATCCAGTCTGCCTTGTTTGCTTCCAATATTAAACTGCAAGATATAGCTCCAACTCAACTGTTTTCAACACCTCCTTGGCAAATGGTACGGCCAGAGGTTGACCTTACATTAACAAAATTAAAGAAATCAGCTACAAACCAATTAATTTACCAACAAGAATACCTTCAACTAAGAAACACTTACGACACTTATAAATCTATATTTACAGATGGATCCAAGGATGGTGGCGCAGTTGCTAGTGCCACCGTCATTGGATCCAGAACAATATCTTCACGTTTACCTGATAACAGTTCCATATTCACTGCAGAAGCAAACGCTATTTTTACAGCACTTAAATATATCAGTAATCAAGCTAAACATAAACAATTCATACTGTTTTCAGATTCTCTTTCATGCCTTCAGGCGATTAAAAATATGTCATCCAAACATCCACTTTTAATCGAAATTCTCGAATTATTTAATGATCTTGCTACTGGCCAATATGACATCGTCTTTTGTTGGTTACCAAGCCATGTTGGTATCATTGGTAACACAATGGCCGATGCTGCTGCAAAAGCAGCCCTCAACAAATCTGAGACACCACTTCTGATCCCATACACTGATTTTAAACCCATGATTCGATCTTACATCCGAGATCTTATGCAACAGAAGTGGGACGCCCAAGTAGGTATCAATAAATTACATGAAATTAAACCAAATATCGGTTACACCTACTTGGGCTGTCAGTCCAGATTTGAAGAGGTCATTATACGACGATGTCGTATTGGCCATAGCAGGTATACACACGAATATCTTTTAAAAGGTGAGGATCCTCCATTTTGTATCCCTTGTGATGAAAGAATCACCGTCAAGCATGTCCTGCTTGATTGTGTTGATTTTTCCATCACAAGGGATAAATATTTCAAAGTTTCATCCTTAAAGGATCTTTTTAATATCAGCGTTCATTTAATTATTAACTTTTTAAAAGAAATTGAATTGTTGACCCAATTTTGATTGATATGTTTTGTATATAGTATAGTTTTTAAAATTGGTAAAATAAATTTGTTAACTGAGATTGTTAGTGGCTGTATCCTCGAAGGGGGTTGAAGTAGTGTAAAATTATTGTCCCCCTGAGAGGGTATGTAAGACCACGTCTTTCAAAGTATATTTATTTTGGCCACATTTTTAATAGTAGTATATATGTTCGTTTACCTTTGGCTCAATTTGTCATAATCGCCAACAGCTGAAGGGATGATGTAAATCCGGCTGGGATCCATGCAGGTAGCAAAAGTAATGTAAGTCCCCATGGACCCTAGCATGGTGATCTGCCTTCAGATGCTGGCGATCTACAGCCCATTTTTATATTGTACTGTTTCATGACTATCTAATGATATCTTTTTATTGTTGTATGCTAGTTTTAAACATTCAATCTGTGATATTCTAGTAATTTTACTGTCCTTCGCTGACAGGTTCTTATTTGGTTTACATATATGTTTAAATATTGTATAACTTCTCGTCACGATATGGCTGAAATATTGCCGATGTGACGTAAAGCATAAACTCACTCACTCACTAAACTGTTTAATTCATGAATAATTGCATTGAAATGAGATCTGATTGGCATATAAAATATCGGATTATGTGAATCAGAACATTTCATCTTGTACTAGTCACTAAAATGACATGCTGTTTGTTTGTTTGTTTTTTAACGCCGCACTCAGCAATATTCCAGACGGCGGTCTTTTAAAATGCATTTGACATACGATGAATGAAGTTTCGTCTTGCTATTTTATATGCACAATAGGGTAACTGCATTGAAACTAATATCGTTATATGAAGGGAATCAGAACAGGTCGTTGTTTAATATACCAAGATCTTAGTCTTGTGTGGACATGTTATGTTTGAGTTTGATTTCGGGGATCCTGGGTGTGAAGACAAGGAACAATGTTACTCTGCTCGGAGGGCAATCACTTCAACGTGTTATGCATGGAGCGAAAAGCGATGTGAAAGAACCTTACCAGAGAATCTACATCGTCAGTTAGGCCCAAATCCTCGTACAACGGTTCATCTTTTGTGGCATCTTTTGTGGCATCTTTTGTGGAGGTAGTTCGAATTTCTTCAAAATTTTGGTACTCATGGAAACACTCGTCTGCAAGATATGTTATAAAGATATATAAAATACGAGTAAGTTACAGATGACAGTTATGTCAGACAAAGAGTGTGACTCGCCAGGGGAAAATATCAAAACGAAATAGACTGTAGGTGATTTTTTTTCACAATGCGCAAACAGACAGAAGACAAATTATCTAAGTCAGCCGTAAAGGTACCAACACGACGTACATACCCAGGAGAGGCGTTGGGTTAGTCTAGTGGTTAAAGCGTTCACTCGTCACGGCAAAGAAGTTTGAAGCATGAAGTTAATATTTGGTGTCCCCCGCAGTAAGATTGCTGGAATGTTGCTATGAACGGCGTAAAACCACACTCACTCATTTACGTACCCGTTAGAATGTGTAATTTGCAGCAAACTAATTTATATTAATAATACACACATGAACTTGCCGGATCAAGCGAGAAAACATGTTTTATTAACTGTCGAAAGAGCAGAAATAATCACTGTTTTGAACAAACAAGCGGAGATGCATTTTCTATTTCTTGTATATTGATACTAAGAAAAGTGCACTCAACATGACTAAATTAATTTTATGACTTGAAGTTATAGAGGGATTACAAAAGAATGGACATCTTAATATGATGTTAATGCGCGGTGTAAGCCTAAAACATTGATTGTCATGGAATTTATTATATCTGTGGCCTCACACTCAATATAAGGTGTATATCTGAATATCATTTTATGACAGTAAGAACGTACCATATGGATTATCGCCTTCGGAATCCTGAAAAACAAAACATTATTTCCGTGAATTTCCTAATGTTCCTAATGGGTCGACTTTGATTATGTCCTGTACTAGATCCCATCATGATAGGAATTATAATTAAATGTACAATAAAACGTTTTGTTTTGATTCACACCATTAAGTAATTTGAAGGTATATACATACTAGTATAAATAGCAGGTAGCAAAGGTACTGTAAGTCCCCATGGTCCCCAGTGTGGTGATCAACCTTCGGTAGCTGGCGATTTATCATGTTAATGTAATGTATAGTTCTCTTTTTATGATTCCATACTAGTTTTATATCTTTTCTGTGATAAATCTAGTGTTTTTACTGTCCTTCGTTGGCAGGTTTTTATTTTAAGTTTAATAATATTTATTATATCAAACCCTTGATAGTCGCGATGTGGCTGAAATATTGCCGGTGTGACTTAAATTGTTGAACTCATTCACTCACCCACACCCTGTTGTTTAACGCCGCACTCAGCAATATTCCAGCTATATGACGGTGGTCTGTAAATAATCGAGTGTGGACCAGACAATCCACATGCATTATTTAGTCTATTGTTAAAAAGATCGCCAAAAGCAGCTTGGTCACCTACTTCTTTTGGGAGACTCTGATAGGATGATCTGTCAAGTCCAGGAAACAAAATGTCTGGTGTCACGGTAGTTATCTTTTCAGGTAGTTCTACAAGAAGATATCACACAATGCACGTACACCAAAATGATTAATATCCAGGCAGCAATATGATATATACACTGCAAAAAAAATCCATTTATACAAGCTTGTATATCCTTTGGAAAGATGATATTTCCAAAGGATATACAAGATTGGAATGATGATATATACAAAAATATACAAGTTTGTATATACGACATATACAAAAATATACAAATTTGTATATATGGTATATCCAAATTTGTTTTCTTTGTATATATTGGTAAAGGGAGATAATTGTTATTTATTTGTGTATAATTATTATATATATATATGCAAATTGAAGTGTTTAAAGTTGAGCACTGTGTTTCTTTGTATATGTTTGTAAAGGAGGATAATTGTTTTGTATGTGCAAAATAGTATCAGCAAGTTACAAAAAACTGATATAGTGGCGTGTAACATTACTGGAATGTTTAATTAGTACTCCACACTGTTAGCGGGAGTACATACTCTCCTTGCAATGATATTGACGGGTAAGCGATTGAGGCGTCTGGTACTTTTCCTGGCGCGGTGCTTGGTATGTGAGTAGACTTTATGGTCAAATGCACAGAGAGGATAAGCTGTCGTGGGTGATTGCAGTGGCGGTGACTTCTGTTTTGAAAGTGTTGAAATCAATTTGTGCTGAGCTTGGATTCGTTTGTACGGGGAGGCCGCGATGTGATTTGTAACATGCTCTCGTGCAACAGTGTGGATTGCACAGAGGATGAAAACTATTTTATTATTAATTTAAAGTGTTGAATTTGGTTTGTTCTGAGGTGTCGGTTTAATTGTAGGGAAAACATTGTTATAATGTCAAATCTAGGCGGAACGCGGAAAATCGCGTTTTTTTAAAAACGGCAGTCCTTTTAAAAATACTCCGAAAATATCGTGTTGCCGGACAACCGTTGCGGATTGTCCTGTTTTCGAGTTTTCAGCATCAAACATGCCTTTATTATCATCACACAATAAAGGTGGCGTCCTCGTCCACTAATGACTACATCCACTAATGCCTACGGCCTACAATAAACAAAATCATGCACCAGTGATTTTCAGCGACACCTACTATCAGTGCATCATTTCTGCATCATTGCATTAGTTCTTATAGTATATACAGCAGCAGATATTTGATGATTTCAAAGAAATTTCAAAGAGTTCATTCCTAGCATGGGTATGTTGTTTTCATTGTGTAGGCATTATTCCACACTGTTTTATTTATTTGTAGGCAATAGTAACTGTAGGCAAAAGTGGACGTAGGCATTAGTGGCTGGAACCCAGGTGGCCGGGTGCGCAGAAACTATTCCCGATTTTCTAAAAGTACTGATTTAACTCCGACATTTTACATCCGCCATCTCTGTTTTTTTTACTTTTGCCACTGTTACATTTGTTGGTATGAATATTGTCCAAACGGCACAAAATTGCTTAAAATGCAATCAAATGTTCAAAACATTTCTTGGGGCTCAGTCTAATATTGTTAGCAAAGTCAACAAACTACGAACATAAATGTAATGTACAACAGGCGCAAGAAAATTTTAAAAAATTCTTACAAATACAAATGATAAAAAGTCGAATATGAATACTTATACCTGTACTTTTTAGAACAAGAAATTGACACATTGACGTATTCAGATTAAATTGATATGTTCTTTACTTATGTAAATGCAAATGATAAAAAAATAATTAACAGTGAGATACTATCGCTATTGTGCAAAGCGTCCAGTCCCAATGAAAGTGAACAGCATGCCAATGTTATACAAAGCAATCATATAACATATCGCAACTGATAGTTCTAAACAATCAGGCAATCAACATAATGACGGTATCAGTGGGCACATCGTGATATTTGAAGATAAAAAAATGATAACACATGACAGCAGTCTGGGAAGTAATACACAGCATCTTGACAATGAACAAAAAGAAGAAGAAGAAGAATAATAGTTTATTAAAGTGTCACTATTTAAACAACCAACCATTTTGGCTTTTGAGACAAAATACCCATCCCCCCCATAGAAGTACAACGAACACACACATCCGCAAATTCAGTCACTAACCCACCCACATATATTACGTTACACACACCACACCACACCACACCACACCACGGGATTCCATACTCGGTATTGACCCATAACATATCCTTCTTCATGTCATGGAATGGGTTTTTGGATGGTGGTCAACGGACACGTCTTGCCTTAGGGAAAGCTGCTGTACTGTCCAGCTTCTTAATGTATGTCTCATCTGCGAGCCTCTTCGCCATCTGCAGTTCCGTCGACTCGCAGTTCTTTGGTCGTACTGTAAAAAATCTTATGCCGTCTTCGTCATAGTTACTTTCCTCGGAGGGCATCAACTGAGCTATCTTTAATGCGTCCTCGTACCTCTGTTTCTTCTGGACGGGAAGGTTGCGATGGCGTATCCCGAGGACTCGGTTACGACTCTTCTGAAGAAAAACAACAACTTTATTTACAATTGCATTTCAAATTTATAATGCATATGTATGTATATCCATGTATATGCTCATGAGCAATGGAGGAGAATATGTGAAAATCAAATTCAAATTTATTCCGATAACCCTTAAGCAACGTGTCAGTATTATAGCTTGATGTATTAGAACAACACTATTTGGGAATGCCAGGTGCTACTGGTAGTGTTGGGTATGCTTACCCTTTTTGAAGATTCACTCTTTGTAATTCGACATCAAACGGATTATATCACACTCTGAGTAAACAATCTCATTTAACCCTTAATTAGTTAATTAATCTGCAGTATATTGTATCACTTAGTATTGCCTTAACGAGGAGTAATCCCTTGTCAGTTGTTGGTGAGTGATCAATTTATGTCTGGAGAAAGGGATTAGCCTTACTCACAATAAATTAACATTTCACACTGCAACAGAAGAGATTATTGATCATTATGCCTTTATAAGAAAGTGAGAAAGATAAAGATTGAATGATACATAACGGGCCGTGCCTGCATTATATAGCCTGCAAGAATCGTCATTGTAAACTAATAGAGGATTAATTTCAATTTTACAGAATATTCAACTGCTAAGTATATGATAAAGTGTTGAAGTAGCATTAGATATGTTTGAGATTACAGTTTTCAATTAACTGTATAATGTAGCTTGCTGTCTTTGAGAGAGTCAGTATCTGTAGAGCTGGCTTGGTCTAATTGATATTCAGTCCCTGGGACACAAATATTGTTTAATAGCAGTGTTTTGTGAGCAGCCAGATGCGTAAATGATATGTAATATATTTCCGTATTATATTTTATAGTACTTGTTGTTTTAATATTGTTAACAACAGAGAGAACGAAGATTTTTTTTTGAAAAACCATAACAGCATGCATATGTTCTAGCAAAAGTAAACTTGATAAATATTCATTTTGCTTAATTTCTACTTTGGAAAACTTATTTGGAGCTCTGAAAGCTTGACGCTGTATAATTTGGGACGCGCATGGTTGGATGCAAACTAAATGTTCTCGCAAATTAAGACACCAGCGGCGGTATAGGAGCATATATCTAATGTCATTCAATACAGAATAATACATGAAGATGTTTCAATGTTAAGATTAAATATATCTAACGATATGGAAATTAAATCTTGATAACTGTTTTTAATCTTTGATCTTTTGGGAAAATAATAGTGGAACTGGTTGAGTGACTGACGTATTCTACATTAAAAAGTGACAGATACGTGATTTACATCATTAAAATTTAAAGTGATACAGTGATACAATTATAAGTGAGGGTTGTGATTTATTTAGGAACGAAGTCAGTATTTGGGGATTTAACTTGCGCTTTCCGACATTATGCGTATTTCGCACACGATTAAGAAAATAATGTAATTCATTTATTTATATGAAGTACAAATGCATCAATCCTAAATCACCCGACTTGTTGAATGTTATTTCGTGAATACACAAATTGCATAACACATTCCCTGAGGACAAACCCAAATGGCCCGTCCCTTTGTGACAGGTGTTAATTAGAGAATGTATTGCCACCACATTATGTCCCGGCACTTTTATGACATGTAATGAACCTAGTCGGTCCATGAATCTGTAACAACAACATTGGTCTTATAAAATCAAAGTAGCATAAATGTTACGTAATTCGTATTAAAAAAATGACTGATAAATTTAACATGAATATAATTGCCCTTTTGGGGATAACATAATATTGGGAAAATATACTTAAAAGTACATGATTAAAGAATTTCAGAATCAACTGTTTCTTGTATTTATGACCGACTTCACACAAACTGAATAATTAAACATATGTTTATATAGCTATAATTACATGCATGACACCTACATTATCATGAAATAATAATGTTGGTCATGTTTGTTAATTTGTACATTTCGTTGTTATTGGTATCCTGGGTATGTTGTAATTATACACGTGTTCTAATCTTATTTGATGTAGAAAACATGAAAAACGATTTGTCAACAGTTTGGTGCGGTCGATGGAAAGGTGTTCAATTACTAAGAAAAGCTATATATTTAACTGTTTAATACTTATTACGTGTCTTAAAATATGAATTAATTCTTAAGTTATAACATTAGTGCAAATTCACCCGAACGTAGGATGTACATGGACCGATTTCAAAATAGCTAAATTGACAAATTGTTTCCAAAAAAACCCACTGAATATAAACTCACTTAGCCTTTAGAATAGAAAGGCGAATCGTTTCTTAATATATTGTCTTTTAAGCCGATGGAAGTTTAAATCACTACAACCGAGTCCGAGGCGATAAAGAATTATGTGACAAAATCTGGTATCAAGGCTTAACTGTACATAAGTCACACTGTCCAAGTTTAATAATCCTCTATATCAGATGACTATTCCAATTATTAATGGTATCAGGTAGGAATAACTTGGCAAAGCATTCTGTTCTACAACATATAGCCTGTATATTGGTTTGATTTCTATAAATGTAATTACTAACAGCAAAGACGTTTTCCATCTTGTAAAAAGGTGTAATGGCTGTGTTAGTTTCTCTATATATTTTCTCGTGGCCTGTACCCCTTATCGCCCCACAAATAGTCCGTATAGTCCGTAATGAGTGAGTGAGTTAAAATTTAACGTCTCATCGGCAATATTTCAGCGTCCGGAATGAATCTTAGTGTAAACATTCTAGGATTAATTCTTGTTCTTGGTACAATTATCCAAAATATGGGCATTATATGCTTGTTCATAGCTTCTAACGATTTATGTGAAAGGAGTTATTTAACTGAGTGAGTGAGTATGGTTTACGGCGGTGGACACCAGAAAGGTATCTAAGACTTCTAATGCAATTAATCATAGGGATTTCCTTTTTAACTCGTCAATATCAGAATCTGACTGAAATGTTATTCCCAAAGTCATAAATATTAATTCCTTTCATTTTAAGATTAGGTTTTGCACTTGGGAAGACTTTAATTTAACGTGAAATAGAAAGCTTCTGTTTTCTCTGGATTCAATTTTACTTACTTTCATCCATTTGGTAATTTTCTCCAACTCAGCATTAATATTTTACGCAGTAGTATTTGGAATTGTCCCTTTGGGGAATTGTCTGGACCCCACCGCAAACACAGTAAACAGAAATTCAAATGTGAATAATATGTACAATAGTTTGTTGGCTCGACATGCAAGACTCCATAATTTTAGTTATAATGTAAAACTCATAGTAATATTAAATTATATTTAAAACAAATAATTAATGTATTTTACATGGGAGACGAAGCGACACACATTGTATTTTATAATAATGCACAATTTTAAATGCTTTAAACCTGTTGCATTAAACAAATACTGGATTTGATGTAGTCACATAGTGAATCTATATGTGTCTAGTCTTCCAAATGTTCTATTGCGAACACATATAGTGTCAGCGCTCATGATCGCCATATCTATGAATGAATAAGAATATATATAAACTCACCTGAGCTCACTGTGTGTTCTGAAGACAAATCGCTGTTAGGCATCCGGCACGGCTTCGTTCACGTTCACCCTCAAATGTACCATAGAAATCTGCGATTGTGCTCAATGTTCGAATGCAATATTGCGACAGGCGTTCGTTTATTTATTAAAATTCCACTAATTCATTAATCACATTGAGTTGCTCGCCTCTTCTCCAGTTGCTCACACTCTCAACTGATGTAGCTGCCTTGATTAACTGGAGTCCGGATGTACCTAATTACAAACTCTGTTCTAATTATGCTAATCGTGGAAGTGCATTATACTGGATGACAAACTTAGTAATCCTTTCACACTAATGATCCTTGTTTACAATGAACGCATGCCAATTGACTAAACAAACATCCTTAAGTAGAAATATCACAATGGACGGTGTGTACAACTGTTTGACAAACAATATCAACCAATATTTCATATTTAGAATCACCATTACATGAAATCACAGAAACATATATATTAAATTTTACTTTTACTCCAGAACTAATGTCGTGAACGTAATATAATAGGAATTTATTCCAACGATGTGTTTCCTATATATGTTTCCTTGTACAATTTTAAATTCATGGATTTTTTATCTATTATTTTGCAATGATCGTGACAATCGCTAAAAGGCTACTCTCTTGCTATTCCGTTTAGTGGTTATTCTAGTTTAGACAGCGACAGCCTCTCGTTATTCAACCAGTGCTTTTCTAACCCCGATTTATTTGAGACAGCGTCAGTCATTCGCTATACAAACAGTGCTTTTCTAACCCCAATTAAGTTTATACAGCGGCAGCCTTTCGTTATACAACCAGTGCTTTTCTAACCCCGATTTATTTAAGACAGCGTCTGTCATTCGCTATACAAACAGTGTTTTTTCTAACCCCAATTTAGTTAAGACAGCGGCAGCCTTTCCCCATACAAACAGTGTTTTTCTAACCCCGACCTAGTTAAGACAGCGGCAGCCTTTCGTTATACAAACAGTGCTTTTCTAACCCCAATTAAGTTTATACACCGGCAGCCTTTCGTTAAACAAACAGTGCTTTTCTAACTCCGACCTAATTAAAACAGCAGCAGCCTTTCGTTATACAAACAGTGCTTTTTCAAACCGCGATCTAATTAAGACAGCGGTATTATTTACATTATCTGTTACTAAAATCTGCACAAATGTTCTATTTCTTATGTAAAATGCTGTCAACATAAAGAAATAAAAATTATTTCATAACACTCCAAATATAGTTGCCATAATGAAATAGTATTAACGTATTATTGTCACGTGCAAAAAAACTGTTCGTAACATTAGTTTCAAACCCGAAGAAAACCTCAACCAGTTCAAAAAATTCAATGAAGCAGTGGTAAAATCTATCCATATATACAAAATTGTATATTTTGGAAATACCAAATATACAAAATTGTATATTTTGTATATATGGGTATTTTTTCTTGTGATAGTCAGTCAGATCAATGACTAGAAACTGATAAATGACTAGCATGAGAAATATAATTATGTTTGTTTTATTTTGTTTGTTTGTTGTTCAACGCCGCACTCACAACAATACCCAGGTTACTTTAAGCTAACATCAGCGTATGAGTGTCATATCAAAATCAAGCTTATGTTTGTTTCTTTGTCGCACTATTCCGGCAATATGATGGTGGTCTGTAAATAATCGAGTATGGACCAGGCAGTCCAGTGATTGACAACATAAGCATCGATCTACGTATTTGGGATACGATGACATGCATCAACCAAGTAAGCGAGCCTGACCACCCGATCCCGTTAGGCGCCTCTTAAGACAAGCATTGAATTGGTTTCTGAAGACCTATTCTCTTACGGAGAAATATATGTCCAACTATTAATGCAATCCATGTTAGAAGCAGGAAGCAGAAATCTTACAGCAAGCTGATTGAATAAAATCAAAGAGAATAATATTGATATTCATATAATGATAACATTCTGAAGCAGAAAATAAGAGGACAGTCAAACGGCCCGACGCCCAAGGTATGTAATCGCAACAATGATTGTTATCCCATTAGGACATTCTTAAACATTGACCTCCTTGGCAACTGCGTCCTTAGCAACAAGGATGAACAATGGGTCAAACAGTGAAAGCATAATTATTACGCTGTAGGAACAAATCTGATATTGGTTTACCGTTGCAGCTGATGTAACGATCGAAAGTCTCCTCCAACCTGCTCTTTGCCTCACACACGGACAGGCGATGGGTATCATCATAGCGGGTGCAGCCTTGGATGGCGTCAAACACGGATGTTGGGATGCACCTTTCTTGGCACAACTTCTTTCTGTCTTCCTTTATCTGGAGCATGAGAAGCACTCTAAACAAGCAGGGGACAATAAATACATACAAACTACGCTATACGTTATGTTGCGTGTCCAAAATAGTTTAAAATTCTACAATTCATCCAGTAATTTCCAATGGTGGCAGGCCCATGCAGGAAGCAAAGGTACTGTAAGTCCCCATGGTCCCTGGTGTGGTGATCTCCCTTTAGTTACTGACGATCTCTAGCCCATTTTTATATTGTGATGTTCCTTAATACTTAATGCTTTTAAATGTTCCACAACTAGTTTTAAATCTTATCTGTGATATTCTAGTTATCACACTGTCCTTCGATGACAGATTTTTATAAAGTTTAAATATATGTGTATTTCATGTCTAACTTCTCGTCACGATATGGCTGAAATATCGCCGATGTGACGTTAACTCACTCACTCCAATGGTGGCTTGTATGTTGGTTGGTTGGTGTGTTGTTTTACGCCGCACTATTCCAGCTATATGACGGCGGTCTGTAAATATTCGAGTCTGGACCAGACAACCCAGTGATAGCTATTATGAGCATCGATCCACACAATTGGGATTGATGACTTGCTTTAACCAAGTCAGCGTGCCTGACCACTCGATCCCGTTCGTCGCCTTTTACGCTAGAATTTTACGACAAGCATGGGTTGCTGAAGACCTATTTTACCCCGGATCTTCAAGGGTTGTATGTGGTTAAATTGGTTGGTTTGTTGTTTTATGCCGCACTCAGCAATATTCCAGCTATATGACGGCAGTCTGTAAATAATCGAGTCTGGATCAGACAATCCAGTGATTGATATCTTGAGCATCGATCCACGCAATTGGGATTGATGACATGCATCAACCAAGTCAGCGAGGCTGACTACCTCTTACGGCAAGCATGGGTTGGTGTAGACCTATTCTAACCCGGATCTTCACAGGTACCAATCCACTGTCTCGGTGAGATGAATAGCCCCTATGTCCTTTGACGAATACTAGTCAGTGTTGCTTATAGTGTAAAACAAATATACAGTTATTGTCACATTTACGGTGTTCCAAAACATTCACCAGATTGCCAATGGAGGTCTCATTTTGTCCTTTGAGATCTGAGTAGGGGAGGCAACCGGGTTGTATGTGGTTAAATTACTAATACCATATAGCACCAAAGAAGATCCGGGAATGAATAGGTCTTCAGCAACCCATGCTTGTCGTATAAGGCGAATATGCTTGTCGAAAGAGGCGACTAACAGATCGGGTGGTCAGACTCGATTACTTGGTGGAAGCATGTCATCGATCCCAATTGCGCGGATTGTCTGGTCCAGACTCGATTACTTATAGACCGCCGTCACAAGCTGGAATATTGCTGAGTGCGGCGTTAAACAACAAGCAAACAAACAAACAAAAACAAACACCACGCTGATCAGACTTTCAGTTGACAGCATCAACATGTGACAACATAATTCACAACAATACCCAGGTTACTTTAAACCTCAGCGAGTGAAAGGTAGTATAAAAATCAAAGCCTATGTTTGTTTCTTTGTTGTTTGACGCTGCACCATTCCACCTACATGACGGCGGTCTGTAAATAATCGAGTATGGACCAGACAATCCAGTTTTGACACCATGAACATCGATCTCCCCAAATGGGATACGATGACATGCATCAACTATCTCGGTGAGATGAATAGCCCCTATGTCCTTTGACGAATACTGGTCAGTATTGCTTATAGTGTAAAACAAATATACAGTTATTGTCACATTTACGGTGTTCCAAAACATTCACCAGATTGCCAATGGAGGTCTCATTTTGTCCTTTGAGATCAGAGTAGGGGAGGCAACCGTGTGTAATGACTTCATAGATGAGATGCCCAACCATCCAATAATCAGACCGCATAGAGAAATGGTGTTTCTTGAGGGACTCTGGGGAGGACCATCTTGTGGGAATGGTTGAACATTCTCTGTCTAACAAGAAAGTCGGTCATTATATGTAGCAAGCATAAATACAATACATATTTGTGTACTTAAAGATGAATGTACTTAATAATGCATTACCAAAAGTAGAACATGTATGGACATACCAACAAGAGTTTCGCCTCTGCCACATTTTCGAGCCAACATGAAGCGACACAGCTTGACAGATTTGCTCTGTTTGTTATATGCAAAATTGGCAGCAGTAAGATCTCTGTGTATTGTGCCATATTCATGAAGGGCGATAACTGCTTCCAGAGCTTGTTTAAGGAACTCCATGAGCTGAAGAGGTTGAAACCAGTCCTTGTTCTTTGCACTGTAATAAAGCACCTTCTGGAAGTTCTGTTGGCTGTAATCCTCAGTGATGTAGAAAACAGGGAACTGGTCGATTCTGTACGCCCACATAGACAGGATACCCTTATGTGTAGAAAGAGCTCTCAGAATATCGACTGTAGTGAGGTGACCACAATCCGACGATTTGGATGGACTTCTGCTATGTTCCACAAGGACATCCTCTGGAAAGTTTGTAAATACTTAAACCACAGTTTGTATGCAGCAAGACCATAACGTGGAGTATTGATGTCCGATCGCACAAAACTAAGTAATAGATAGAGGATAAATTACAGTACCTTATCGGGATATATAGGTACGGTTGCGAGAACAAATGGTGAGCCCAGTAAAACGTTTGTCAGAACTGTACCCTGTTTATTCAGGAAAAGTGCTGTCACTAATACTCTGTTTTAAAACAGTCAAATACTTGAGCTAAACGAATAATACATATATGTATAAAGTGTACAGTGTGCGTAAGCAGCACTTTTACACTTCCAATTTGAACCAATAGCAAAACATAGAATAGGTCTTCAGCAACCCATGCTTGCCGTAAAAGGTGACTATGCTTGTCGTAAAAGGCGACTAACGGGATCGGGTGGTCATGCTCGGTGACTTGGTTGATGCACGTCATCAATCCTAATTGCGTGGATGGACGCTCATGATGTCAATCACTGGGATTGTCTGGCCCAGATTCGATTATTTACAGACCGCCGTCATATAGCTGCAATATTGCTGAGTGCGACGTTAAACGACAAACCAACCAACCAACAATAACAAAACACCCATTGGACCATAGCCTCTAGCTGTGTTCTAATGAAACTGGACACCTCCTAATTTTATACCTGTTGGTAAATTGACGTGTATCATGATTATTTCTGATCCAATTTGAGTAGAAGCTACTTTCCAGCTTGTGCTGCTTGTAGAATGGTTGGTTGGTTGCTTGTGCAGGCGGTTGATGCTGATTGGATGTAGATTCGTCAGAACCTCTGTCACCATCAAACTGTGTGTTGATTCAGCGTTGGCATCTTTCCACAGGGATAGGGCACCCTGTCTGATCACAGGGCTTTGCGAAAACAATAAACATCTTGTCATGATATATATGCTTCTGTCCAAGTCCTTCAGTGACAATCCAAGAGCTGTGAAAGCAGCCTTTGCACGATCTTCTATATCCTCACCTACTGCATCTCCTGTTAACGAAGTTACAGTACAGTGATTTACTGAAATGAACCTTTCGTAACTCGCAAACTCGTTCCATTGTAACGTCCTTCATACTTTATAGAAATCTTAAACCAACTTCCTTAGGTTCGTTGATAAGGGATATGCGGACAACTGGTTATTTAGGGTGATGTTAGGGGGCACGGGTGGCACAGTCGTCTAAGGCGCCGCGATTCGCTCTGCAGAGTGGAGTTCCTTGGGCACGCCAGAAAACCTATGGATGTGGGGTCGAATCCCGGTTCGCCCCGATTATGTTTCTAGGTTTGTCAGCACCATACTCGTGCTCGTGGGTTTCACCGAAGTGGAAAAGGTCTGAGACATGCATCACTTCGGGCTTTCCTCCCACATCAAGCTGACACGCCGCGAAATAACTTGAATACTGGTAAAAGCGGCGTTACACCCAACTCACTCACTAGGATGATATAAGAATGACAATGAATTTCTTTTAAATTACATTAATTTAATGGGCATTCCACGCAATCCTGGGACAGTCACGTATGCACTTACCTAAGACATTCAGGTAAGCCACCATCCCAGTAGTGACCAACTGTACAACTCTCTTTTGTGCTTTTGGTTTCTTTAACACGTTTCGAACTTTGGGTTTCCCTGGCTTCAGTAGTGCTGGAAGTGTGTCTAAGGCCACGAGGGCAGTCTGGGGGTCGCCATGAAATACCTGTTTCAAGAAACAAAACAGTTTAGTTTAAAGATTAATTGTGTCACTGAACTTTGGGCATAAAATTCTTAAAACAACTAAAAGTCGGAAGTGTTATTTCATATCATTGCAGCGTTACTTGCCTAACACCGATTGGTCGATTGAAACAAACATTACTTTGAGGTTCACATTTCAATTATAACCATACCAAAACAGAAACTTTCCAATTTCGAGCTTTGTGAGTTGCTTTCGGAAATGTAACAAAGTGCAACATCAAACTTTTCTATCTAAAAGAAAAGAAAGCATATAAATATCACCTCACTATTCAAATATGAAATGATAATAGGTCGGTATCAAAGAGGTGTTTGTCAATGTACCGGCAATGTATCGGCAAATATATTGACCTTGTGCCATATCATGTACTTTGTTATATGTATGGTAACAGTGATCCAGTGTATAGTCTACAAAACGGAAATCCCTGAAAGGGTAATACAATTCCAGGCAAGTTGATGCACAAAAAACATTTATATGCATTCAAGAAACAAATTCCACTATTAGAAGAGTTTTGAAATTAGGCATTGTGATTTAGAATGTTTACTATCAAGTTGCTGTTTTACCTCCATAAGTGTCCCCAAGACCATAGAGAAATGAACAGGCCAGGATTTCTTCTTCACGGACCAAAGTTGCTTCCAATTCGTTCCACATGCTGTGACTGCTTTGGTGACGTCATCAATACGTTTTTGTATGCCATCGACAAACACACTGATGTCACTCAGAGGAACCTCGTTTCCTGAGCTTGGCTGTGAAATGTATTGCCATACCGATCGCTTTACCTGTTTGATTGTCGAATCCAAGGATGAATGACGAGCTTCTTGGGACACCACTAAATAGGTGAGAGTCAGAAGGTACGTGCAAATCAAATTATGCAGGAACACGGGGTCTATAACATCATTCTCTGTCAGACAGCGTTCAAGCAAAGCCTTTTCAGCTGACTTCAGATCATTCCGATCAATAGTGTCGTGTTTAGTTGAAAGTAGGATGTCCCCGAGTTTAGTTAAAACTTTATTCTGTATCTCAGGAACTGGAACTGCCAGAAGTTCCACTATTGCAGATATATTCTTCTTTGCAAAGGTTTCTGGAAGGACTTTGGTCAGAAGACAGCGAACTGTGTTTGATCTGTTGCTACTGTCATAAAGTCTAGTCTTGCGGCACATCTCTCGAAGTTCACTTTTGGATGACCCTGATAATTTGGAAAAAAGATGTGGAATTAAGAACAGTGACCAATAAGACCAGATGAAGAGAAAAAGGTGCCCTAAATATATCCCTAAGACTAACTGAGTCCACAAAGAATCATTTGATGTTCATATACTCACCGACAAAAGAAACGCGAATACAGTATATGTTGGTTAATATATGATTGTTTGTTTGTTGTTTAACGCCGCACTCAGCAATATTCCAGCTATATAACGGCGGTCTGTAACGTAATCGAGTCTGGACCAGACAATCCAGTGATTGACATCATGAGCATCGATCCTCGCAATTGGAATCGATGACATGTATCAACCGAGTCAGCGAGCCTGACCACCCGATCCCGTTAGTCGCCTTTTACGACAAGCATATTCGCCATTTACGGCAAGCATGGGTTGCTGAAGACCTACCCGTGAAGATTCCGGGGTAAAATAGTTCTTCAGCTATATATCGACTTTATTAGTTAAATAAATTTACTCTTTTTTTGAACAGTGTATATATCTTATGCCCGAAGAGTCTATATCTAATGCTCGACATATCTCGCTTCCACTCCTTTGAATATAATTGATCAACCATCTGTCCGCAAGCCTCTGTAAAAGGCGACGCTGCTTGTTGTGTGGTCAGGCTCGCTGATTTGGTTGAAGCATGTCATCGATCCAAATTGCGTGGTTCGAAGCTCATGATGTCAATCACTGGATTGTCTGGTCAAGACTCGATTATTTACAGACCGCCGTCATGTAGCTGAAATATTACTGAGTGCGGCGTTAAACAACAAACAAACAAAGAAAAGAAGTGTATGCATCCAGTTTACAACGTACATTTACACTGCGTTTAGGTGCAGAGCTTATTTGTATTGCCACTTATACTTTTATTTGGTGACATTATAAAGTTGGGAAGCTCACACACATGTAGGCATAGATATGCACCAAACAATATCCGACATACCTCAATGCCAGAGCAATAAATGACAGGTCAACAGTCTATCTGAAGATATCCCTCTGTATTCATGGGGAGGGTTGTTGATTTTACCACTTAACTTTTCTTTAGTGTCACTATATAGTATACACAGTATACACGGGTCACATTAAATGACTGACGCCAAAAAGGGAAGTAAATGCAGCGTTTTGATTTGTCCGCTTTGGACAATATAGACAGATGAACGTTCGACTGGATTTTAGAAACAGCTGAAACAGGAACCTGCACACAATCGACATTATATATTATAATACCACGTCTTCAAGTAACTTAGCTCTACATTGTAAACATCGTTTGCTGTTTTGGCGGTAGTGAAAGGTATGCCAAATGAATCAAATGACCAAAGTAAAGGACTTATTCACATTCATACAGTTAATAAAGTTAACGATAGCACAGAGACGAAAAGCGGTGACGCTTGCTACTTCGTATTTATAACAATGACCTATTTTCTAAGAACCCGCTTGTCACCTTCCCAAAACTGAGCCTGTTATCACGAAAGGCGGACTTTGCTTCCGTCCTAGGCCTGTTGTCAGCAGTGAGTCATACACTCCCGGTTGTTATCTTGGCACGCAGTTATCAGTGAGTGTTGCCTTCTTAACGAACACTGCAAACTTATTGCGACATAGCGTGACATGGTTTTCGATATAATTGTAAAGTTGCATATATAAGGGTCAAGTAAGATTTGTGGATGCACTGACTTCATATTTGAATACATGCATGATTGGTTTTAATGCCCATTCACTACCTTTTTGTTGATGCAACATTCAAACTGAAATATATGTATGATCTTGTGTGAACGTCGATGCTCTGCGCTATGTATACTCGTTATCAAATGTATTAATATATACTAGTATCCTTTCAGTTATGATAAATACCCTGAACCCATTCGCTGTCCTAGTTTTGGATATGACGTTGAATCTCCATCTCCCACATCAGTACTTTGCCAATCATTTATCTCGCACGTGAGAGTACTATTTGGTTCGATGGCTGTCTTTAGCGTCATGCCATTCGCATGAAAATATACGGTACCAAATGGTTCCGGGGTATTTATAATTAAACAGTGATACATAATACACTGGATCGATCATCGAGCATGGCCGCTATGCTGTTCACTCATATTGTTATATAAATACCTCATTTAAACAGCAACTAAAGACACTTCTTTACCTGTACAGTTTATTGTCGACAAAACTAACACCAATTGTTGCATCAATAATCAATTTTTATAAAATATTTGCTGATACAAATGTAGTAAGTATCGACACATCCCTACCCGGACAGTTTATTGTCGGAAAATAATAACGCCATTTGTTCCAGTAAAAACATTTAAACAGCTTTACTGTACAAAAGTAGCAATATAGACACTGGACAGTTTAGTGTCGGAAAACTAACGCCAATGAGTGTATGAGATTTATAATTCTCAGTAATAGATTTTGGTGACATTAATCCACTTACTTTCCAGATAGACGTGGTATTATTAAGCTGTAATCATCACATGATGGATTATAAATTTCTACAGTAAACAATCAACATCCTTTTGATGTGGACGAGTGTTTTGTCAACATAGTATTAATCTGTTTGCTTGACATTCTATCAAAGTCGGTTTATTGCAAATAGCGACGTTTCCACGTATAAACATACTTATTTCCATAAAGTAGAGGGATTGGCAAACAAGCAAATTTTGCTTATCTGAATGCCTCTCCCAAACATGATTCACATACAAATTACAATGAATTGAAAGTGACATGAGACATAGCATACATTATAAAATTGACATTAAAGATAATTATTGCTCTGTGAGTGTTTAATTACTGGATTATCTTTCGTAACTACAGCTACGTTATTATTTTCATCCAGCACAACAACATCGCAGTATCACATAGCAAAACCAACATCTCAGACAATATCTCTAAATCGGCAAGAAGATAGAATAAAACTGTGCACTGATTTCAAAATTTCAAAATGTTTTACAGTCGTTAAATCTACGTTTCTAGGTACAGTCTTACAAGCTGGCACCACGCTTCAGATAATCCTATAAACACATATTTACGCTTTATAAACTATCTGCTATACTAAATAATTGTGCCTCCATACATTTCAGCCAGTCGTCTGACGCGCCGCGATTCGCTGTGCAGAGTTGCATCCATTGGGCACGCCAGAAACCTATGACTGTGTGTTTGAATCCCGGTTCGCCCCGTGACACGTTAAGCTGACACGCCTTGATATAACTTGAATATTGTTAAAAACGGTGTTTAACTCATCTCACTCACTCACTCACTCACTCATACATTTTAGTAAGGCTGGAGAACTTGTCACTGGCAAAAACATTTGAGCTATGATATAAACAGTCGCAGATTTAATGTAATCAAATCTATGAACGAAATCTTGTGTAGAACATAATGACAAATTTTCTGTAAAAATGGTGTAAGTTGGTTGGTTGGTTTGTTGTTTAACGCTGCACTCAGCAATATTCCAGCTATATGACGGCGGTCTGCAAATAATCGAGTCTGGACCAGACAATCCATTGATTGATATCATGAGCATCGATCCACGCAATTGGGATACGATGACATGCATCAACCAAGTCAGCGAGCCTGACCACCCGATCCCGTTAGTCGCCTTTTACGACAAGCATAGTCACCTTTTACGGCAAGCATGGGTTGCTGAAGTCCTAGTCTACCCCGGAATCTTCACGGGTCAAAGTGGTGTAAGACAATGCAAGGTGAACATCATTATCACTACTTGTGACTACTGCATAAATGCATAAATGCATAATGCATAGAAAATTAACTTGTATCCGATAATGTGGAACATATAACACTTAGCTATAGCCTTGGTGGTGAACTGTCTATAATTATCTGCCGTCATATTGCTGAGTGCGGCGTTAAATAACAAACAAACAAACAAACATATAATTATCGGTCTGCTAGCATTGTTATATGCGAGCAACTGTGCTGCTAGCTGACAGCCCTCTAGAATTACAGAATTCACTGAATTCTATTAATGACTTTTTTGTAAAATGAATCTGAAGAAACCACACGCAAATAGTTTTATTTGGCAGTAGGATGTAAACACAGCTTGAAAGTTAGTAATGAACCTATTGAGATTGTAAATCAGTATAAATATATTGGTGTCTTCCATTCATGTCATGAATTGTCTACCAAGCTTACAAAGCATTGCATCTGTGATACAGACGTTTGAGATGTACTGATATATCTTTTGAATTGTAATTATTTTTTTTATTGTACAATGTGTCTTTGAGGGAAGTGTGTTTCGAAAATGTTATTGCTGACAATTCATCCAGACATACATTTGTAAGAAATTTCCAATGGTGGCTTGTATGTTGGTTGGTTGGTTTGTTGTTTTACGCCGCACTCAGCAATATCCCAGCTATATGACGGCGGTCTGTAAATAATCGAGTCTGGACCAGACAATCCAGTGATTATTATCATGAGCATCGATCCATCCACGCAATTGGGATCGATGACATGCATCAACCAAGTCAGGGGCACTCGTGAAGAGCAACCTCCTCGTGAAATAACTGTACTGTAACTTCGTCAACAGGAGAAGGACTGTGAAGGACTTGGACAGAAGCATATATATCATGAGCATCGATTCATCCACGCAATTGGGATCGATGACATGCATCAACCAAGTCAGGGGCACTCGTGAAGAGCATCCTCCTCGTGGTGAGTGGTGGGTAGCGCCAATAGCTCTTCCCCCGTGTGGAACCGGAGCAGAATATTTCCACAGCACCCCATTGCTGGTCGTAAAAGGCGACCGAATTGGGCAATCTGTTTGCCGTGGGTTGCGCCCCTGTGTCGGCGGAGGACGGGAGACTGGTGGTTGAGGGCACTGGTTCCAGGAATAGCGTTCCTTTGCCCAATACACCACTTCGACTCTTACTTCGCCTAGACGGGTGGTAGGATGGGCCCTATCAATCGGCTGGTCATGCCGAGCCCTGTGCAATATTTGTGTATACACAAAAGTTTAGTTCAAATTTCCCTTGGACTTTAG